CTTAATGAAAAATAGTAAAATACCCTCTTACACAATCTTAAAATATGTGAAAAACCTAATCATAGTTTACGTAACACTAGCTCTAATCTCTCTATCCCACTTGCATCTACCTTCCACGGTCTCCGATGACTTTGTGATGTGTTTTGTAACCACTGATGATGCCTTCGCGACTAATCATCGTCATCTCTCTTCCCCAACTTCTTTACTATCTATTGTCACATTTTAATATTTTGTTTTATATCTAAATAGTTTGAGATCTAGAGCCCGTTTGGTACAGATTCTTGGGATGGATTAAATTCTTCTACAGTAAATCAATTCTCATTTTCAACCACACATTCTTCAATAAAATAATATTTTCCATCACATCAATAATTTTTTCTTCTTTTTCAACCACACATTTCTCATCGTATCACTATTCAAAAATCAATTCTTCCCCCGAAAATCCCTACCAAACACACTCCTAAAGACTAGATTTATCTTTACCATCTTCTCCATAAACTATCACAACATTTTCAATTTTGGTTTCAAATTTGAATGAATTCACCAGTCTACATTGCCACGACTACTGACCATCGCACTTATTCAATTTCTCATATATGGTTTTAGATATTAAAGTAGGTAATTAGGGTGACAAATTCAAGCGGCGCTTTAACGTTACCGATGATGCAAGTCACAATTCCGTTGATATAATATCTTCAGCAATTTAATGCTTGGCAAAATTGGGAGAGAATCTAAGTAGCAATATTCAAAATTTTCTTTCTAATTTTATGGTAAGTGATTGAAAGCAAAATTTGCGAGAAATGTGGTGCAGAATTTGGGATGAATACTTTCAATTTGACATGGTTGGTGTTCAAAATGTGGTGCAAGTGAGGATCCGGTGATAATGATTGATGCGATTGTGGTGGTAACACTATAAATTACGAACTGATAGTGACCGTGGTACAGTGATGGTGAAGGGGGCGATGGTGCAATTACTTTCATTTAAGATATTGTGCTAGTTGGATTTGGAAGATGGTACTGGTGAATTTTTCGATGGCGGGGCGAAGGCGGATTTTTGCAGTTATTGAGTGATCCCACTTCGAGGTTTCCTCTTAAATGAGACATGGAAGGGTGTCACTACGAAGAAGTTTCGAGAGTTACGAAAGAAGCTTGAAGCTCATATTAGTTATGTGTTAGAATCAATGATGCATAGTCAAAAAGGGATTCTGACCGAACACTATTGAGAAACCAATACAATAAATGATTCTTTTTTGAATCGTGAAAGATTTAACACAAGAAAAATACGTAGTAACATCTCAAGGGAATGGGAACATATATTCCAATAAATGATTCTTTTTTGAATTGTGAAAAATTAAACACAAACAAAATACATAGTAACATCTCAAGGAAATGAGAATATGTAAGTAATTACTTCATTATGGTTAATATAAACATGTTATCATGTAAAATGTGATTTTTTTAATCGAAAGTAACTTATGATAGCATGATATTATTGTACTGCATTAATTTTTAATAGAAATACGAGTTTTGTGTTCAATATATAGTATTATATGTTACCTTTCAAATAGAAATTTTAAATGAAAATGGGGTAATTTTTGGAAAATTGTAAAAGAAGGTAATATGCCCATCTAATAAGGATGCTTGTGAAGACTTTTTAATTTCCCGACAGGTCAATGCACAATCGAAAGGTGAAAACTTTACTAAAGTCGTGTACATTTTATGTGCATTGATTTTCGTTTATTATATGCTTGGTTTCCGTGTAATGAGAAGAAGGAAAAGTTAAAATAAATTAATTTCTTAAAAACACAAAGAGAAGTAGAGCAAATGTCAAAATTGCCCTATTTCAAATTATTGCAAATACAGCCCTCCATCTTTTTAAATTCTTAGCAAGGCCCCAACATCTCCATCCCATTAATCGTTAATCCAGAAACTGGACTTCCAAATCGAAATTCCTTTCATCGAAAAAATCAGAAGAAAAACAGAAACAGCAATAAATTATTGAATAGAGCTGTGAAATAGTGAAACAATAACCACCACTTACAGCCGATTGCAAACCCCTATTTTTGGTCCAAATCTACTCAGGTATTTATTTCTTTCTCTAAATTCTTCTGTTGCCTTCTATTTCCTAGAATAATAAAGTTATGGTAAAATTCTAATATTAAACAATCTCAGTTTTTATCAATGGACCGTAAAATTTCGGGGGACGCGGTTGTTAATTAGACAAAAGGGACCCTGTTGCGAGTAATGATTGCTGTTCTATGTATTGTATAAATTAGTGAAGTTTTGATCGTAATCGATGAAGTGGATATTTCTCATTGATGCAAGTTTATCTGGTTTGTTGAATAAGTAAAGAGAAATGGATATGGAAACGTGCCTGTGAGATTCGGGAAGAAGTTTTATGAGAATTATTGTAGAATCGGAAGTACAAACTGTACACGAGCAACTATTCTACTTTCAGATAATTTTATTCAACAATTACCAAAAGAAAATATTAATAAATAATAAATTGCATGAACCTCTCCAGAAATGGACTACTCACACGGTAGAAAATCATTGTGGGAACATAATATTAAGTTACCAATGTAACTCCCACGATATGACCACTGTTCTAATTAACTAACTAGGAAAGATAGGTGTATGATATCGAGAATTACTTTTAAAGAAATTAGGAAATTATATGCAAGAACCATAGCATTTCACAATTGATTGACAAATCTACTTTGATTCTCTAGGAACCTATAATGTGCCTAATTTCTAGGGATTAATCGCTTCAACATACTTCAATGGTTATACAGGTATTTAGGCACCGTTTGGTAACCATTATTCTAGAAAAAAATGTATTCTTTGTGTCAAATCACACTTTTTTTGTGGTTGAAAATGAAGGAAAAGGTATTGATGTGATGGAAAATATTATTTTATTGATGAATGTGTGATTGAAAATTAGTAGAAGAATGAGAATGAAAAAAAGAATGGTTACCAAACGGTGCCTTAAAATATTAATGAGATTGATGCTTTTTGTCCCAACTTTTCTTTTAGTCTCAAGCCCGATAAGGAAAGTGTAATTTCTACGAAGGTTTTTGTGTTGTTGATTCCTACCATTTTGTCGTCTAGTAGTGACAACCGTCTTTTGGATTGATATTGCAGTCTCTCTTTGGTTGGGTATTGGTACAACATTACCTATTGACATATCCCTAACTTCATGTCTTTTTAATTTGATTCAATTGTGAAAACACGTGTGTCTAGGGAATAGTCGCTTGAAAGCGAAATCTTCCCAGGTACATCTGTTCAATTCTGAATATTCATCCATATTCAACAAATTTCATTAATAATTTCTTTGTCGTCCTCACCATTAAATTTCACTTCACTGGGGAGTTCACATCAACACCTACCTTCACAGAAACCTCTCATGTTATCCAAAGTTTTTGATAATCGGAACACTGTATAATCTATGATTTTTATTTATTACTGTATTTTCTTCTTGTAGAGAAAGGTTATGGACAACGATGATTGCGATGTTGTTATTACCCATGAAGGTCATATGGATATCAGAAATTCGAATAATTTGGACTTGAATGTGGAACATGATGCCCGCAGCCCAAAGTTATCAGATGTTGATGCAGCGAAACATGAATTACTCAATCTTGGTACAGAGTTCGAATCAGATGAGCAAGCATATAGTTTTTACATCAAGTATGCTGAGTTGGTAGGTTTTAGCGTTCGGAAGGACTGGGTAAATAGGAGTAAAGTACATGGTCGGGTGATGTCCAGAAAGTTCACCTGTTCCAGACAAGGTTATCGGAAGAAAGACAAGCGGGATGCTAATGTGAAGAAGCATAGGAAGGAAACAAGAACTGGTTGTTTGGCACATATGGTGGTAACTCGTCAACCTAATGGTAAATATCGGGTTACACATTTTGGTGCAGATCACAATCATGAGGATGTAAACCTAAGTAAAGCTCAGAAATTGTTGGAATTACCATTACCTGGAAAAGTGGAGTCTAATGAAGTTTCTGAAACTGACTCAATGAAGAATTCTGAGATACAATCAAAATTATCTTTTCAACTGTTGGGTATGCGATTTGGCACCCCAGAGAATCGTGAATGCTTTCATATAGGAGATGACATTTATCTAAAGTCTGGGCGGACAAGAGATTTGAAGGAGGGAGAGGTAGCACGTCTTTTGTATTATTTCCAGATGCAACATTTCGAAAACCCTTCATTCTTTTATTCTGTACAACTCGATATCGATGATAAGATAAGCAACATATTTTGGGCTGATGACAATATGATTCTAGAATATGGTCATTTCGGTGATGTGGTTTGTCTGGATACATCAGCCACAAGAAATGTAGATTCTCGTCCATTTGTGCAGTTTACTGGACTGAATCATCATAGACAGGTAGTGATTTTTGGTGCTGCCTTCTTATACGATGAAACTGTTGATTCATTCAAGTGGCTTTTTCGAACTTTTGTTGAGGCAATGTCTGGTAAAAAACCCAGATTCATTCTCACAGATCAAGATGCTACTATTGTCCAAGCTATTCATTCAGTTTTACAAGAAACAAGCCACTGTATATGTGCATGGCAGATGTATCGAATTGCACTTAAACTTCTTCATCAAACGATAATGGAATATGATTCTTTTGCCAAAGATTTTAGGAGTTGCATATTTTGTCATGACCAGGAAGAAGATTTCGTCCATGCCTGGGATTGCATGTTGGACACATATGGACTGCGTCAGAACACATGGTTGAGATGGATGTTCAGAGAGAAAGAAAAATGGGCTGTAGCATATGGTAGAAATACCTTCTTCATTGAAAAAAATGGCACACATCTAGTAGAGCAGATGTCTGATAACTTGAGAAACTACTTGGGCTCTGACCTCGACGTGCTTCAGTTTTTCAAGCATTTTGAGAGTGTGGTAAATGAACGAAGGTACAAAGAACTAGAATCAACATTTAACATGGCAAGAAATGCTCCAATATTGATGGCTAATGCAGTCTTGTTAAAGCATCCAAGTGATGTTTATACGCCCAAGGCATTTGATGTATTTCAACGAGAATATGAGAAGTGTTTAAACGTCGTCATTAATAAGTGCACTAACCGTGATTCAGGATTTGAGTATAAAGTAAAAACATATGGAAAGTCTAGAGAATTCTCCGTTGCATATAGTTCTCTTGATCATACAGTTACTTGCAATTGTATGAAGTTTGAACATGTTGGTTTTCTTTGTAGCCATGCCCTCAAAGTGCTTGATTATCAAAATATAAAGGTGGTCCCATTCCACTACATCTTGAGGAGATGGACAAAAGATGCAAGGATTGAAAGCATGAGAGAAAATTATGGTTTTCCTGTGGAAGACAACGAAAGGTTAATCGCTACTCGTTACAAAGATATGTGCCAAAATATACTTAAAATATCGGCCAGAGCTGCTGTTTCCGACTCGGCATTCGAATTCGCTGCAAGACAACTCGATGAAGTAATGCAAGGTGTTGAAAGAATATTGACTTTTAAACCCTACACCGAAGCTAAAGATATAACTGCAAGTGGTGCAGGTGCTTATGCTTCTGAAAATGAAATGGCCAACATTGATCTTGATAAAAGTGAATTTGAGGTTCAGGATGTTGACATCTTGACAGGGGCAGCTGAAACAGAAAGTATCGTCCCGGATAGAGATCAATTGAACCATCGTGATGAAGCAATTCCCAGTAAAAGTGGGGGTCTAAGCATGCATCGATCTCCACGAGAGACTGTTTTATCAGTTGCATGTGCGCCTTCAACATACATCTTGTCCCCAAGTCCGAACCCGACCTGTCCTCTTGCACAGGTTAGACTTGTATTTTACCATCTTCAAGAACTAGTTACTGCTATATAGAGAATTTGACTGTGTATTCTATTTTATTGTAGGGTTTATATCCTGTCGAAGCAAATCATATAGTACATAACATGTATCAAACACCAAATTTGACAATCAACCAGGAACCTAATCCTAACATGTATGAGCAGCAGAGCTTTTACTCTAGTCAGCAGCATTCTGCCAACCAAGTTCAATTTCTACAAGTAAGTTCTTCCCCTTAATGATCACGGAAAAGAGTTTTGGAATGCTTTAATTGACTATCTATTATGCATATATATCTTTGTATAGGAATCTTTGATTCGTAACCAATTCCAAGAGTCTATGTCCAACGGCACCCAGTTGAGGCAGGTAATGCCATTTCTGTTTCTAGGACTATAAATCTGCTGATGCTTTAATTGCTGAAAGACAAAACTAAGATTTGCTCCCATTATGATGGACTTTGCAGGTTATGGATCATGACAACCAAAATCCACATCCACCTTCTGTCATGCATTACAATCACAGATACAGAGCTACCGGTGTTTAAAATATAGAGAGAGACGTGGCTTTCAACCCCTACATTTTTGTTAATGAATGTATATTCTGTACAGAGTTTGTGTAGCTTTTATTGTTGGATATTTAAAAATAGTCCATTGACAAGAGTGTTGTACTCCACCTTTTCCCTCATGAGGTGCATTGGCACAGACGTTGATAGTAAACATGAGGGAAATCAATTTAATAGGTTTGCCACCAGCATGTCTGTGCATAAAGAAAGGTATTATTCTCTCATTGCTTTATTGCCTTTTCTCTTTTTTTTTTTTTTTTTTTTATTCTTTTATTTTTTTTTTTTTTTTTTTTTTTTTTTTTTTTTTTTTTTTTGTGGGTAGTTCATTATTTTGTAATTTGAATGTGTTTTCACTGATCTGAGCTGGAAAAAGCATCTGCTATGTTTTCCAATCTTATGCCAGAACACTGCATTATTTTTTTCTCTAAATGGCTCTGGTTTCCAAATGCTCTCAAAATTACACCGCCACAATATCTGCAATGACTATCAATATTTAAAGGGAATCGATGTTAGCAAATCTGTCTGAAGTCATTTTCCTCGGATCTAGAACACGACACACGTGCAAAACTTGTTATGGAAACTAGGTTAACAGGCTTGACATGTTTTATGGCTTCTGCATCCGTTACTGGTTTCTCATACTAGACATTGCATCTTCGCTCATGCACATATTGTGGTGACAGTAAATTGTTAGCATGTGACAGCAACATGTCAATGAATCCCTCAGTACTGGTGAATTTGCCTTCCTAACCTTTTAAAATATAAAAAGTTGCAGGTGTAAAAATATTAGGTAGTTTGTTGTGTGTTTGAGGGAGTTACAGGGAGACATTGGACGAAACATTGTATCCCTCAAGTTCCTTTTGAATTATGTCGGGCAATTTGTGTTGAACTATCTAGAAGCTTAAACTACTGGAAAGGAAACCAAATTATGTGTTTGAATCGCTTCTTTAACTATTTGGATATACATGGTTCCTAGAAAGCAAGACCACCAGTTTTATCAATTTGCTTCATGAACTTGCAGTTCAAACTTTTGTTCCCTCGGGATTTGAATTCGTGCTCAACAAAGAATGGCCAGAGTTGGGTAAATTTTGAGTGTATGTGATCTCGAGTGTCTACGGGGAACTCTGTTCCCATTTACTGGAAAATTTGTCAGCAAATGCCAGTGCTCCTGAAATGAAGTAACCTGTGCACAGTGTGGTTTAAAACTTCTTGACTGTGTCGGTGCCTGTCCCAATATACTAGTTCATTTCTTCAACCCCCCCCCCAATGTACAATTTTGTTTAGTGCCACATGCCAAAATGTGTCCAGAGGTTTCTAGACCACCTAACCCTTGGCCTTCAATAAGTAATTAATGGCTGAAAATGCACTTGATTTGGTCGACCGGGTGGTTCCTATTAGCTTTGAAGGGGTAGACACGATCCCTTGGAAGAGATTCATGTCTACTAATGAATCTGAAGTGAGCTAGGGCAAGGACACTTGGTGGGAAGTTAAAATATATTTTTGGAAATATTAAATAGGCTATTTATATTTTTTGACGGTTGATTTATTTCTCTGAAGACTAGAATTCATATTGCTATAATTTGGTTTATATTTTATTAAAAAAAAAACTAAGCAGCAAAAAATATGTTCTTTCAATTTTCTATTTTTCTGATCCCTGGATTTAAGTTGTTATAAAACTGGACATTATTTATATGTTGCTGCACAAAGAGGAAAATATTTCATCTTTGAATTTAAGAAAATGATTAAACAACGATATGGCAATAAGAATAATTATCTTTAGCAAGGATAATTTTATATGTATAAAATAAAATTCGTTTCAGAAAAAGAACGAAATAATAATAATAATAATAATAATAATAATAATAAAAAATAAATAAATAAATAAATAATTTATTTTCCTATCATAATTGTTGCATGGAGGTCGAGTCCTATGTTGACAAGATCATTACAAACTAGAGAAAAAGTACCAAAAAAGATTTGCCAATACAAATTGGACCAATTTCTTATCTGTCAAATGTCGCCTCCTGGGGTCCCAACTTCTAACTCCCACCACCACCACCACCACGGCGGTGTGTTTCTGCCAAATTTCACTTTCTCACTGGTCTTTTAAAATCCACAAACTCTCTACATATTTTTATTCACACATAAGAATCACTCTGACACTCTCTCTGTCTATCTAAAAATGCTTTCTTCAAGAAAATGTTCTAACTTGCTATAATGAGACATACAAAATGGTTCCATTCTCTTTTGAGTTGCAAAAAGTCTCCGTTGGCATCTTCATCATTGCCGGCGCCGGAGAAGAAGAAGAATAAGATAAGATCATCAACTAGCATTGCAGACAATAATGAAGAAGAAGACCGAGTAACAAGTCCTTACGTTGAGTTGTTGGACGCGAACAAGCATGCAATAGCAGTGGCAGTGGCCACTGCAGCGGTGGCAGAGGCTGCATTCGCAGCCGCCAAGGCGGCAGCTGAGGTAGTCAAACTTACCAGTGGGAGTAAGAAAAGAAGTTCTGCGGTGAATTTTACCGGTGAACGCCGCCGGGAATGGGCGGCTATAAAGATTCAATCGGCGTTTCGAGCTTACTTGGTTAGTAATTTTATAGTTCACTTTTTTCTTTTTATTCTTCCTCAAATTCCCCATATATCATTTTACTTGATCTGGCAAACATTATGTCTTTGTTTCTGCCTATGTTGCTTAAAATATATATCACTAGAGTGAAATTCATTCATTTATTTATTTAAATTTAATATTAGACATGTCCACAGAGCAGGCTGAGTTAAGTTTTTTTCAGATTGGTGTTCACAGTTTTTATAAATGAGAGGATCTATTATGTTATAATATTAAATCGTTTCGTCTAAAAGTTCAAGTGTCATGGGTTGTTAGGGTGCGACTGCAGTGCACGGGGGGTGGCTGTGGTAATCCACGATCACCTCGAGAATCTATTCCTTCTTGTCCTAATTATGTCACTTGTCCTGTCATGGGGCATTAAAGCAATTTATTCCATTCTGGTTACAAAAGAAAGTTGAAGTTGTTCTCAAAATGTCTACCAAATGTGATATTTTTTTTTTCCTTTCTGATCACATTTGTTACCTTTCTTTTTCATCTGAAAAAAAGTACTTTGATGCAAATTAGGACTGTCTTGTATTAGATATGGCTTGAAAGCTTGACGTATACTCATTATCTTGGGGTTGTGAGAAGACTTGAATTCAATTGTACCACCTCATCTGAAAGTTTGAGCTATTCAAGTAGTAGTAGTTGTGAAGAAGCAATTAAAAATTTAAAAATTCATCGGGATTCTCTTGTATAGTGTTGAGTTTGTATATGTAATAAATCCACTAGAGAAGAAACATGAATCCCCGTCTTTTGCGCCTTTGTAGGTGACAATTTCTCTATACCCTCTGTTACTCCTTTGGATATAAAACAGAATTGCTTCTTCTATTTTGCCTTTTGTTTTTCGACTCGTGATAAAGGTCCTAGGTTAGTCTGTCTACATTACAACTTTAAATGTTTATCTATAGAAAAAAAAATGATTGATAGAACAGAATCTTAGTCTTTTAAGTTTAATAGATTAATATTGTCTGCTATGAAACTTTTGAAGCTGCTTATGGATTGAATGATCATGCATGGGCCTCTTTCCATATAGCTGGACTGTGCAATAATGCTTTTTTGTATTAGATTGAGAGCATGTATGGCAAAGCTTTAAAAGATGAGTTCGAACATAAACAATTTTTCATTAATCAAAATTGAAGTTTGGTTACAAATCTTTTAAGTAAAGGTGAGAGTCACTTTCAAAATAAGTAACTTTTTTAACTAAAAAGTGAGAAAAATGTAACTTATGCGAACACGTTTAGAAATAAAAAGTTGCTTAGAAGTTATTTTTGCTTATTTTTAAGCTTACCCAAGCATGCTCTCAACGCATTCGTCATAGGACTATTTACTGCTATATTGGGGTGCAAATAGCAAAATTAGGATTCACAAGTCGGACACCATAGCATTCTTTCATATTCGATTGTTTCTTGATTTCTGGATGGACATGTTGTAGGCTAGGAGGGCCTTGAGGGCACTCAAGGGACTCGTAAAGCTTCAAGCTCTAGTTAGAGGCCATATTATCAGAAAGCAAAGTGCAGATATGCTCCGGCGTATGCAGGCAATGGCTCGAATCCAGGCAAGAGCCTGTAAAAATCGAGCTTATAATTCAGACTCTACTAATTTGGGCATCGCGTTATTCAACCCGCATCAACCTGTACGTATAATTTCCTTTTTACTTAAGCCATGAATCTTCTTATCTCAGAAGCATGCTAGTAAACTGATGACTTGCTCTCCTGAAAATACGAGAAAAACTTAAAGATGAGTTAAAACAAAAAGTAAACTGAGATTGCATAATTACCTACCAAGATGGCTCTTTTTCATAGCCAGACGCTCTTTTTTTCTTTCTCCACTCACAGTCTAGTACATGTAAAACCTAACAATCATTACAAAAGGGTGAATCTTATTCAGAAAATTTAATTTTCTTGTCAAAATTTCTTTCTGTTAACAGTATGAATTTACCTGCAGGGTGTTGCCAATCTCAGAAAATATGAGCAGAGGTCAAATTGTCCCCATCATGATGGACTCAACCAAAAGGTGATCTCTTGAGCCCCTTGTAGGCTGTAGCTCATTAATATGTAAGACATTCTTTGTTGTGCAATGCTACAGATAAACGTGGATTAAATGTATCCTTCTGTCCCCTGCATATGCAGAAATGTGGTTCGAGATCGAATAGGGACAATGGTATTAACACAAAAAACATATGGGTGGGTTCTAATTTGTTAGATCTCTGGATGGAAGAATATACATTGAACAGGCGGAAGTATTCCTCCCTTGAAACCGGACGCCGGGATGATGAAAAAGGTGACAAGATCCTCGAGATAGATACTTGGAAGCCTCACCAAAACCCAGAGCGAAGTGACAGAGCGTTTCAGATTCCACAATATTTTCCTGTTTGGAACGAGAATGGACAGAACTCTGCAACATTTGACTCAACGTCAAGACATTCAGCAAAATCCGAAAAACGAAATCTTTGTATTTCGTCTAGTGATGTCCCATCCTTAAGGTCGATAAAATCCCCTCAGGAAATGAATCCAGTGTCTGCTAGAGCTAGCAGTAGTCGAAGAAGCCCTTTTAGTCCAACAAGGAGTGAGTGTTCTAAAAGCTTATTTGATGTGTACCTGGGTTACCCGAATTACAAGACAAATACGGAATCATCCCTGGCTAAACTTAGGTCACAAAATGCCCCGAGGCAAAGAATGCAGGACCGTGTGGGTACAAAGTTTGCAAGTGATCTTTGGGATATGGACACAGATTCAGAAAAGGGCTCAACCTCGTTTACTATCTATACGAGAAAAGGTTATCCATACGCCAGCCACTTAAAGAAACTCGAGAAACCTATCCAAAATCCTGCTGTAAGTTTTCGTTCCACGTATGGCTATAGATATTAGTTATTCTCGTGCATCTATGTTTGAATTCTATTAAATATGAAATGAACGTCGTCGAGGTCTTAGAAAACCCTGTGCTTGGACTTATGATCCCAGAAGGGTGAATCATTTTTATTTCATGGATTGGCTTGTAATTATTCAGTTTTTTTGCTATGACTGTATTTTAAGCTGTGAATTTGTCAAGACTCGAATCAAAGTTCTATATTATATTAAGAGAAGATTTTCAAGCCGTATAAATCATTTTTCAACATATTAAGGGGCATTAAGGGGTATGTTTTGGTATACAATACTGAATAATATAACACCAGATTTCAACTTCTTTCGTCTTTAATACTATCAAATTTCGTCTGATCCACCTTATAAAACATATCATGAGTATATATATTTAGGAAATCGAACTTATAATATTAATGTTTCCATCTCAATAGAAGCTTGAAAAAACACCATCAGCCTTCCACTGTAGCTTCTTGTTGGGGACATGCCCGTTTCCCAGCCTTATCTCATGAATCAATGCTGCACCAAAATGTACATGACCAAAAGTCAAAATTCTGAGTGGAATATATATTGGAAATAGTACCATGTAAGAACAAAATATACATCAAAGGATAGGATTTACTATTCACAGTCAGTATTAGGATCAATGGTGAAGCCAAGATAAACTCCACAGAAACCAGGCAAAGTAGCAATAGCAGTGGCATTTGGATTGTAAGTCGTAATGAGATCCATCAAGCACCAGCAGACACCACGGCGGTTGTCACTGGTGTCCGCCATACTATTCAAGCTTGTCATGGCAATGCAGCACGGGGATCCTGGTACCGGGTCCGGCACGCCATAGGTAACAAAGCTGGAACAGGCGGAGATAAGTGCCGTAATGGTGGTGCAATCCACCACGGCCATCCCGGGGGCCGTGGTCGATGCTACAAATGCAGACCACGAAACTAAAGTTATCACAACAATGCCTAATACTATGTTGTTAGTGTTACTCCCCATCAGGTGGCCGTGTAATTTTTTTTTTTTTTTATATAGGATATTTGGCTTGGATTAATTGGGGTGTATCCATTTTTTTGCAATTATAGAGAATTTCTTACATGAAATATGTTAGTTGAGTTTGGTGTACAATGTAGAGCTTGTGGTATTCTCATCAATGTCGCGTGACAATACATTAATTTAGTATCTTGCAAACGAACCAATTTCATTAATTTATAACCATATTTTTAATAAATGAGAAAAAGTGAGTAAAAGGAATATAGTTTGATTGTGTTTTGGTAATAATTTTAAAGGTAATACATGAATAGAAGGATAAAATAGGAAATGCGATTCGTTTTTGACTGAAAATGGAGAATTAATGTGAAAAATAAACTTTAGAGGAGATTTCTGTAATTTTTGAAAAGTCACCGGACACGATTTATGAAGTCCGACTTATGAGTGCATACAAAGATGAAAAACGACATGGAGGGAAACGAACAACCACAAAAGAATTAAATACATTACACCCATAATCGGCTTAAACTTGACCGATCAAATAGAGATCGAAATGACTTTTTATTTAAAAGAGCTTATACATAAGAAACATTTCGTTAAGAATGTTAGAAGAATGTCATTTCTCATTTCAACCATTGAAAATAACCTTCTAAAAATGTTGAACATGATGTTTTCTGTATTAAAACTTTTATTTTTCGTAATGGTCACAATCTGATTTAGGATTTAGAACTATCTATCACTGAATTTCTTGGGGAGTTGGTCTTATCTGCAGATTGAATTGGTAATATGTTTTAATATTAATTAATACACATTGACATCTGGTGTCGTGGTGTAGTTGGTTATCACGTCAGTCTAACACACTGAAGGTCTCCGGTTCGAGTCCGGGCGACGCCATAATTATGTTTTGTAGTTGCTTTGTTAACATGTGAGCTATTTTGTATCTAGACTTTCAGTTTTTTGTTGAAACAAAAATAAAGGCATTTAGCAACAATTAAAAGAAGTGCCAGACAATTCCACTAGTTTTTCTGCCTCATTATTTTACTCTCTCATAATATTTTCTTCGAACCTTGCTTTGGTGCCAGAAAATTTTGCTACCTTCCTCGATTATCATTGATCAGTTTAAAAAATAGTCAACACTTGTTGTCATGTATCATTCTATCATCCATTAATTCATTTTTTTTTTTTTTCACTCCAATCCACACAGCCTGCCTTCTTCATTGATTCAGACAGACCACTATGGACCATAGGAACCTAATTCTTTACGTAGAACATAGGAATAAATAATGTCTGGAGTCTGACTGTGTGAAGCTAAGAATACCTTCTGAGTTTAGATATGATTGAATTTTTGAGGTTCAAGCAATGTCTATGTAATGCAATTTTACTTTTGGACATATTTTTTGATGAAATCATATGACAAACCCATAATTGTTTAACATATTCAACTTGACGTAATAAATAATGATATATGGCGATACGTTGACATTAACGTTAATTTTTTTACTAATTGACCACTAGTGTAACAATTATAATTGAGTGATTATTACGATAGAATATAACTTCAATGATCATTAATGTAATTACCCAAAAATTCAGTAACCATTGATATAATTAACACAAAAGAAAATTATATTTAGTCCTTATGGATCTTAATTAAGATATATTCCAGATTAATTATGAATGAAGTTTTGAGTAATTACATTAATGATTGTTTAAGTTATTTTCTATCATAATAGTCACTTAAGTTTCTAAATATTACACAAATGATCACTCGATTGAAAAAATTAATGATAAATCCAACATGACGACTTTAAGTGCCAAAGTATCATCAAACGCTGTTTGTTTATTACATCAAGTTAGCAAAAATCGTTGCTATAAAAAAAAGGTGGGTTTTGTTACGGGGCTGTGTCAGACCCTCCACCTCGACACCACGTGTTAGTAAAGATGGTCCACACACCCGACACTTGGCGCCGAGGTGATTACCTCATGGGACGAGCTGGCTGTACATACCGAAGTGATTACGTATGGAACGAACTGAACTGGCGCCAGCGAACGAACCGAACTCATCCGCTAACACATCGCGGATGCAAAGGCCCGCACTCCGCTTCCAAAACGCTGCAACGCCTCACCTGCCTCGCCTTATCAAAGATCATTGTACAAAGATCCTCCCAAAGTCAAATCACTGACTGATGGGACGCGTGGCAGGACTCGAACCTGAGAAGATACCACATGAGGCTGAATCCCCTCAAATGTGCTTTCGGTGTGGCTTCAAGTAAATTCTTGGGCTACGTCGTAAATCAGAGGGGAATAGAGGCCAACCCAGAAAAGATCAAGGCCTTAATAGAAATGAGATCGCCTCAGAAGCCCAAGGAAGTGCAGGGCTTACTAGCAGGATAGCCACATTCAATCGCTTCATCTCAAGGGCCACTGAAAAGTGTTTGCCCTGCTTTAAAGTCCTCAGGGGAGGCAAGAAGTTCCAATGGACCTCAGAGTGCGAAGACGCGTTCCAGGAGTTGAAAAACTACTTGGAACGAACACCCCTCCTCAGCAAATCAAGGGAAGGAGTAAGTAACCTTACTGTTATACTTGGCCATGGCTGAGGGTTCAATCAGTTCCGTGCTTGTGCGTGAAGAAGAAGCACACCAACTACCAATCTATTATGTAAGCAGAGTTCCGCTCATACCCGGATATCGAAAAATTGGCCATTTCCTTGGTCACTGCTTCCCGAAAGTTGAGGCCGTATTTCCAGGCCCATAGCATTCACGTCCTGACAAACTTTCCGCTGAGGCAGGTCTTGCAGAAGCCAGACGCCTCAGGAAGGTTACTTAAGTGGGCAGTTGAGCTTATCAAATTCGACATAGCTTACACGACCCGAATAGCCATCAAGGGTCAAGCCCTGGCTGACTTCGTTGCAGAGTTTGCCAAAAGCCCCGAAATCGAAGTAAATATGGAACCAGTAGAGCCCCCACCTGGAATCTCTTTGTCAGCGATTCGTCTAGAGAAACGAACTCCTGACCTGGTATTGTATTAGAGAGCCCAGAAGGACACAAGCTCAACTGTGCCTGAAGCTCGGATTCAAGGCTTCTAACAACATGGCTGAATATGAGGCTCTCTTGGCTGGACTTCGGCTAGCCAAAGAACTGCAAGTGAAAAGGCTGATTATCAGCAGTGATTCGCAATTGGTAGTGAATCAAGTTAATGGAAACTTCGTGGCCAGAGACAAGCACATGACTGCCTATCTAAAGCTGGTTATGAATTCTCTGCCAAACTTTGAGAGGTTCGAACCGATTCAGGTGCCTCGCCAGGAAAATTCTCATGCAGATGCCCTATCAAAGCTGGCCAGCAGCAAAGATTCTGAATTTCTCAAAATAGTGCCAATAGAACACTTAACAGAGCCCTCCATCAAAAAAAGTGAAGAGCTGATGTGGGTTGAAAGCGCATCGTCCTGGATGATACCTATCTTGGCCTACTTGAAAGAAAAAATCTTGCCAGAAGATGAAACCAAAGTGCGGAAGCTTCGAAGGAGAGCTTCTCACTTCATACTACAGGACGATATTTTATACAAACGTGGTTTTTCCTCTCCCCTCCTCAGATGCACAGGGGGGAAAGAAGCGAACTATATCCTCAGAGAAGTACATGAAGGTGTTTGTGGGAATCACTCTGGTGGTCCAGCCTTGTCCTATAAGATACTAAGGCAAGGGTATTACTGGCCAACCCTGAAAAGGGACGCCATAGAATTCGTACGCAAGTGTGAGAAGTGCTAGGGCTTCTCCAATGTGCAGAGGCAACCGTCTCAAGAATTCACCGTTGTATCTAGCCCGTTGCCCTTTGCCAAGTGGAGAGTGGATTTCATTGGCCTCTTGCCAAAGGGAAGAGTGAGTGCATGCTTTGTCATAGTCGCTATTGACTACTTCACTAACACTTCCAAATTTCTCTGGAAGAATATCATATACCGGTTCGGCATTCCTTACTCTTTGGTCTCTGATAATGGCAAACAGTTTGATAACAAGAAGATCCGGGATCTATGTGATGAACTGGGGATCAGAAAGCATTTTTCCTCACCTCACCATCCCCAGGCAAATGGCAAAGTTGAGGCGGTCAATAAGACCATTAAGCTCACCCTGAAAAGGAAGCCGGATGCCTCTAAGGGGGCTTGGGTGGATGAGCTCCCCCAGGTCCTATGGGCCATCAGAACCCCTGCAAAACAGCCACTGGGGAAACACTATTTTCCATGGCTTACAGAGCTGAGGCGATGAGCCCCGTAGAGGTTGGTGTTTCGTCTCCCCAACGTCTCCACTTCAATGCAGTGACGTACAATGATCTGAGGAGGCTTGAGCTAGATTTCCTGGAAGAGAAGAGGAGTGAATCCTAGGTTAGGCTCACTTCTTACCAACGAAAGATGATGCGTTACTATAACGCTAAAGTGAAGAAGAGAGTATATCGAATTGGCGACATGGTGCTCCGCAAACTCTTCCCCTTGACCAAGATTCTGGCATAGGGACTCTAGGGCCGTACCGCGTCACTGCAAAGGTCAGACCTGGAACCTATAGAATTGAAGATCTAAATGGAAAGATGATGTCTCACCCCTAGAATATCGAACATTTGAGGAAGTATTATCATTAGGGAATATGTATTGTTGTGAATGTTGCAATCAAATAAATATTTTGTTCAGTTCGCTCTTACATCGACACATCAGACAAACTTGGTGAGGTACAAGCCCATCTAAAGAGTACACCCCCAAGGAATTCTGCCTAGTCAGAGGTGGTGCGGGTGCCACCCTTAACGAAGCAGCAAGCGCACATCTGACAAACTTGGCAAGGTGCAAGCCCATCCAAAAGGTACACTTCCAAGGAATTCTGCCTAGTCAGAGGTGGTGCGGGTGCCACCCTCGACGAAGCAGCAAGCGTACACCGGACAAATTTGACGAGGTGCAAGTCCATCCAAAGGGTACACCCCAAGGAATTCTGCCTAGTCAAAGGTGGTGCGGGTGCCACCCTTTGGCGAGGTACAAG